AACTCCCCAAAGCATGCAAGCCCGCCAGGAGTTCAGAAACGACGGGTCCGACGCGAGACATCGCAAGACCCCCAAAAAAAAAACCGGCAGGGCAAGCTAGGAAACCAAAGAAGGAGGAAGGGTCGCCGCCAGAACAGGACCCGAACCAAGGGGCACGAACAACTGCAATAGACCGAGACAAAGAAGCACATCACAGGACACAGGCTGACCAACGCCTAAGAATACACGCAGAACATCCCTGCTGCAGAGGAGGCAGGAAGAAAGAGCAGAAGCACAAAAAACCCCAGGAGAACAACCAGGGGTGGACAATCAGGCAGGGACAAAAACCGCACGCAATCCCCAGGCACAAAACGGCAGCAAAGTGCCACTCCACAACCGGACACAGGAACAAGGACACGCCACTGTGAAACACGGTACCAATGCACACGTGCAGCAGCAGCAGCAACAGGCACCACTGCAACATGCAACATGTAAATAGCAACTCCCCTCTGCAAAGGCAGAGAACGGAGCAGGCAGACCCCAGACAGGGCCAACGGAGACACGACAAAAACCTTGCAGGCCCAGAAACCTGCACCAGGCGACCGACGGCGGAGAAAACCCCGCTCGATACCTGCCGGATGAGGTACTGGGAGCTCTTTTACACCTGAAGCCCGGCCCAAGGCCAGGCTAGACCGGCCAGACGATGGCCCACCAGGCAGCTGCTAGGAGCAGTCCACCGGCCCACATACCCCCACAACCAGGACGGGCCGGAACTGCCATACGAAAACAGGCCAGTGCGCCCTGGAAGTCCACGGACGAACCAGCAAGAAGGCTTATGCTCGCAAGTAGGTCGTGTAACAAGCACAGACCACTGATGGTAATACAGTGTTCCCCAAAAGTGCCAATAGCACCACTGCACTCCACTGGTACTATCCCGCAAGTTCTACCAGATAGGCGGGACCCAAGAGCCAGAGCTCAAATCCTGCAAGCACAGCCAGGAGCCTCACCAGGTGAGTACAGAACCAACCCTACAACCCCCACACCTCACAACATTAAAAAGGGAGGGTCCCCTGAATGACACCAGCATGGGTTGGACATGCACATGAGGGGGACAGGATGGGGTGATAAGGGACAGTCACTGGTGTGCGAACGGTCTCAGTCGTACAAAATATACCTAAATAAAGACAGGTATAGAAACACCGCCGCATCCAGCGCCCGGCCAAAAGACGCCAGACTGCAGAAACTCACCTGGCGAATGGTGGTACGAACTTGACACGACTCAACCGTGCCCAGAAGAACTTGAGAGCACCGCCAGGTGAAGACGCCAGAGCCGGACCCTGCCGGACCCGCAGGAGAACAGGGAGAGGCGAAGGAGGCGGTCCACACCCATGACACAGGGAAAACCGCGGTGTCCTCCCCACAACAGGGAACCAGGACACCCCCGGCACGAAGGGGCACATACCGCAGCCAGGGAGAAGAACGAGAGGCGAAGCACTGTAGCAAAAAAGGGCGCAAAACCCAAGCACTGAAACACCGCCCAGACCAAAACAAACTCCACGGCGCATGCTCATAACACGCTGGCCGAACCGCACACCCTCCCTGCGGGAAGGCGCCAGCCAGGACTACTGCACGACAAAAGGAGCCAAAAGAGGAAGCAGGAACAAGAAAACCGGCCAAAGAAGCAAAGAGCCCAAAAAGGAACCCAACTGGGCGACAAGGAGCCCAACCGGGCGACAAGTAGCCCAACCGGGCGACAAGTAGCCCAACCGGGCGACAAGTAGCCCAACAGGGCGACAAGTAGCCCAACAGGGCGACAAGTAGGAGGAGCCGACAGACGTTCCAATAATGCGGGAAGTAGCGAAAAACCTTCCCGTACCCTCGAGAACACAGAAGCCAACACTAGTCCCGAAGGCACACGAAGGCGCAGGCGCACCCGAGATCAGAAGTCACGCAGAACCCCATCGAATGGGGAAACATGACAAAAACACCGTCCCAAAAAGGGGGGGGAGGAAACATCCACCCACAGGATGGAACTAACCGACTCAAAGACCAAGGAACCGAGCCCGGGGAGGGGCCGACGTCCAACAGCACGTACGGCGAGTGGGGAGGAAAGACCCCACTCCGCGTAACCACAAGCCCCGCCTAGAGGGGGATAAAAACCCCCACGGGGTCTAACGGGGCCAAGGCCCCCCCAAGTCAGCCCCTCCCCAGCCCCGGGGCTGAGCCGTTCCCCCAAAGCCCCGGCCGTACCAGAAAACCAGGGCAGCCGTGAAAACACTAAGGAAGGGAGCCCACTGGCAGACTCATACAACACGGCTGGAGGAACAGGCCCAAATGCCCCCGTCACTACCCCGGAAGGGGAATTCCCCGAGACTGCCCGAGTCTCACCACCAAAAGCCCCGCCCCGAACCTACAGACCGTAAGGAACCGGATGCAGGCAGGAAGGGTGAACCAGGGGAAAAGACAAGGGGGCGTGGATGGAACCGAAGCAACCAACACCCCCAAGTCCCAAAACGAACTACAACGGGGCAGCCCCGGGGCTCCCGGGGAGGAAACCACGAGAACGTTGCCACCACCAAGGCTCAAGTGCAACGCCCCTGCTGCCCGCACCCGCTGTGTTAGCACAACTGGGTAACCGAGCCACAACGAGCAACCAAACTCGCAGGACTCAGGGTCGAAGGTGTCACCGACCCCACAGGCAGCAGACGGAGGCAAAACAGAGAGTCACCCAGAGACAAAAGGCGAGAGCAACCCTCAAACTCGCTGGAAGCGAGGGGGGGACTCTGGGGTCACATCCATCGGACCCGCGCGCCCCCAGGGGTTTTCCAGGGTTCCGAGCGTTTACTTTAAGAGGACTCGCGCTCAGGTAGTCCCAGGCAGGGTACTGCTAACCGGCACACAAAGCTACCAAACAACTTTCTAAGAGCTGAACCCCCGGGACGTGTACACTCACGGGGACCTAGCAGGGGGCACCACCAGAAAATACTCAGAACACAAGGGAAACAAGGGGCAAGAACGAAGGCAGACCCCCCCACCAGGTAGATAAACAAAAAGAAAAAGAAAACCCCGCAAGAGGACAGCGTACCCAAGCGGAACAGAGCCAGCCGCCATGATTGGTAAAGACAAGCTGCACAGTACCCCGCGCCCCACCAGTGCAAACACTGCCCCTTACTCTAAGGCGAACAAGGGAGACAGAACCCCCGAGCACACAAAGAGCGGCCGAAAACCAAGCAGTAAACGGCCAAGCAGGGGCAGGACCCAAGGAACTTGTGGAAGGTGGCCCCAAGCCCCAAGGGCAGTACTTACAGGGCGCCTAGGGAAGGGAACCCTAGGCGCATGCAGCCCGAGTACTGAAGAATCACTCCCGGCTCACGCACCACCTAGAAAACAGACACCACACTCTAGGTACAGTGCTGAAACAACCACTGGAGCCGGAGCACATAACCATTGCCTATAGCATCAGCCGAAGAACTAATGGGTGGATAGCCGGCGTGGGAGGTCTGGGGCTCCCCCTTCCCCCTCCTGGGGAGGGGGGAGCTGCGCAGACAGCGGCGCGGTGACGTATGACGTCATACTAGTTTCCTTGTTTTCTGTTGAAGAGTTCTATCCACTAGTTCGGCTTAGGTAGCAATTTTCACCAGAATAGGGGTTTGTTTTGGAATGCTTACCTTTCTGGATGCTTGACCCGGTCGATGGCAGACATAGAATGCTTCCAACCACACGGGGGTTTCTATAGGCCATTGCTCCCCTTGCCTCTCTGAGGGGGCCAGGTTCTGGCTCGTGGTCCCCGGTAGGCCCTAGAACTCCATACACATGACTGATGCCAAAGTCTGACATTAGCATATCAGCCGGTAAAGCTCCGGGGAGCCGACGGGGCTCCCCCCAGAAAAAAACATATAAAGTCCAATTCTTATTCGATCGACTTGGGGTTAGTATGAAAATGTTTGCCATTAAATTTCCGTTTTCTCTAATAGGCACATGGCCTATTTGGGAGAACGGCATTGTATTGTAACTTAGTGGAGAGACTATCGAGTTGTTGACACAACGAGGGTAATCGCCCACTTCACACACTCTTGGTGTGGGCCACGATCATGACTCTACATTTATATGCATATGTCTGTGTAGGGAATTTTATTGTGAGTTCAGTGATATAAAATTTAATGCTGTAGGACTAATGTGGAGCTGACAACAAACAAAAGAGTATGAACATTTTGTTGCTGTTTGGGCGTCACGGCGAGTGATCTATGTTTTTATTTATTTCGTGGTGGGATAGCTAATGCTTTGGTGACATTTTATACATATGATCTTGTAGAGAATTTTATTGCCAACACATTGATACCAAAATGAAATACGTAGCTCAAGAATTGGTGTCAGGAAAGTGAAAAGATAACACATTTTTTGGTGTTTACGCTCAAGAGCCCAAAACGCCGCGTGCACAATGCGCTATTTTTTTTCACGAGTGCCGGGAGCATTAAAGTGTTATTTGGAAAGGAATTACAGAACTCTAAGAATGAGACCTAGAAGTGCCACTATCGGAACACAAACAACAGTGTGAGAGCGTATGCGTCACTTTCCAACTTCAGACTTGCTTTTAATTATATGGATGGTGAAATACTAAAGAAACTGTTCATGACTGTTGTGAGACCAAAATTGGAATATGCAGCAGTTGTGTGGTGCCCAAATCTCAAGAAGCACATAAAGAAACTGGAAAAGGTACAACGGCACGCTACAAAAGAGACAGCTACCGTTGCATGCGCTACTCTTGGCTGCTCTTTTAGTACCGAGGGCATCACACCATTTCAAAGGGCATCAGTAAATTCAAAGTTATATGACAAAGAGTGCTGGGAAGACGGGGCATCACGAGCGTAGCTTTCATCCTGTAACTACAGTTAGGTAGTTACATGCAGGAGGAGTGCCCTAAGACATAAATATGACTGGTTGATGTGTGCAGTTAAAGGGTGAAAAAAAAAAGAAGTGAAAGGAGCAAAGCACACACAACTATGGTGAATAATATAACTGACCTCTAACCCATCAAGGACATCTTGTCCGTCTTGGGGCTGGAGCTTGGCTTCAGTCCCAGGAAGAAGCATGCTGAAGATCGACCCAAAATCCCTATTAACCTGAAAAGTTACCCATTTTGTAAATGTGTAATAAACATAATGATATTATATTCAAGTACTGTATACAAACATATATCCAATAAATAAAGATAAGCTCAGTACTGTACTGGAATCTTACCTGCTCCCAAGCCTGTCTCAAAGCTTCCTTCTTTTTCTCGTCCAATTCACGAATTACTTTTTCAATCTTAGCCTTGTCATTTTCCACAATTCTTTTCTTTCTCATCAGGTCATTATACTGTGAAAACCAACGAAAAATATTAAAAGTGATGCACAATGTGAAACTATTATGTAGCAGTAGCCAGATGTCGATCGTCTGATGGCAACTGAGGAAGGTATCCACAGGCTGACCTATCGTGGGATATGAATAAGGTGCTGTACTGTGTACAGGGTGACATGTACAAGGTGCTGTAATGTGTACAGGGTCACATGTACAAGGTGCTGTAATGTGTACAGGGTCACATGTACATGGTGCTGTAATGTGTACAGGGTGACATGTACAAGGTGCTGTAATGTGTACAGGGTCACATGTACATGGTGCTGTAATGTGTACAGGGTCACACGTACATGGTGCTGTAATGTGTACAGGGTGACATGTACATGGTGCTGTAATGTACTCACCTAGTTGTGTTTGCGGGGGTTGAGCTCTGGCTCTTTGGTCCCGCCTCTCAACCGTCAATCAACAGGTGTACAGATTCCTGAGCCTATCGGGCTCTGTCATATCTACACTTGAAGCTGTGTATGGAGTGAGCCTCCACCACATCACCCCCTAATGCATTCCATTTGTCAACCACTCTGACACTAAAAAAGTTCTTTCTAATATCTCTGTGGCTCATTTGGGCACTCAGTTTCCACCTGTGTCCCCTTGTGCGTGTTCCCCTTGTGTTAAATAGACTGTCTTTATCTACCCTATCAATCCCCTTCAGAATCTTGAATGTGGTGATCATGTCCCCCCTAACTCTTCTGTCTTCCAGCGAAGTGAGGTTTAATTCCCGTAGTCTCTCCTCGTAGCTCATACCTCTCAGCTCGGGTACTAGTCTGGTGGCAAACCTTTGAACCTTTTCCAGTTTAGTCTTATCCTTGACTAGATATGGACTCCATGCTGGGGCTGCATACTCCAGGATTGGCCTGACATATGTGGTATACGAAGTTCTGAATGATTCTTTACACAAGTTTCTGAATGCCGTTTGTATGTTGGCCAGCCTGGCATATGCCGCTGATGTTATCCGCTTGATATGTGCTGCAGGAGACAGGTCTGGCGTGATATCAACCCCCAAGTCTTTTTCCTTCCCTGACTTCTGAAGAATTTCCTCTCCCAGATGATACCTTGTATCTGGCCTCCTGCTCCCTACACCTATCTTCATTACATTACATTTGGTTGGGTTAAACTCTAACAACCATTTGTTCGACCATTCCTTCAGCTTGTCTAGGTCTTCTTGAAGCCTCAAACAGTCCTCTTCTGTTTTAATCCTTCTCATCATCGTCCGCAAACATTGAGAGAAATGAATCGATACCCTCCAGGAGATCATTTACATATATCAGAAACAAGATAGGACCGAGTACAGAGCCCTGTGGGACTCCACTGGTGACTTCACGCCAATCGGAGGTCTCACCCCTCACCGTAACTCTCTGCTTCCTATTGCTTAGATACTCCCTTATCCACTGGAGCACCTTACCAGCTACACCTGCCTGTCTCTCCAGCTTATGTACCAGCCTCTTATGCGGTACTGTGTCAAAGGCTTTCCGACAATCCAGAAAATGCAGTCCACCCAACCTTCTCTTTCTTGCTTAATCTTTGTCACCTGATCGTAGAATTCTATCAAGCCTGTAAGGCAAGATTTACCCTCCCTGAACCCATGTTGGTGATTTGTCACGAAGTCCCTTCTCTCCAGATGAGTTACCAGGTTTTTTCTCACGATCTTCTCCATCACCTTGCATGGTATACAAGTCAAGGACACTGGCCTGTAGTTCAGTGCCTCTTGTCTGTCGCCCTTTTTGTATATTGGGACTACATTCGCCGTCTTCCATATTTCTGGTAGGTCTCCCGTCTCTAGTGATTTACTATACACTATGGAGAGTGGCAAGCAAAGTGCCTCTGCACACTCTTTCAGTACCCATGGTGAGATCCCATCTGGACCAACCGCCTTTCTAACATCCAGATCCAGCAGGTGTCTCTTGACCTCCTCTCTCGTAATTTCGAACTCCTCCAAGGCCGCCTGGTTTACCTCCCTTTCTTCTAGCACAGTGACCTCACCCTGTTCTATTGTGAAGACCTCCTGGAACCTCTTGTTGAGTTCGTCACACACCTCTCTGTCATTCTCTGTATACCTGTCCTCGCCTGTTCTAAGTTTCAATACCTGTTCTTTCACTGTTGTTTTCCTTCTGATGTGACTGTGGAGTAGCTTTGGTTCGGTCTTGGCTTTGTTTGCTATATCATTTTCAAAATTTTTCTCTGCTTCTCTTCTCACCCTGATGTACTCATTCCTGGTTCTCTGGTATCTCTCCCTGCTTTCTGGTGTTCTGTTATTCTGGAAGTTCCTCCACGCCTTTTTGTTCAGTTTCTTCGCTTCCATACATGCCCTATTATACCATGGATTCTTCTGTTGCTTCTCGGATTTTTCCCTTTGGGCCGGGATGAACCTGTTTACTGCCTCCTGACACTTTTGGGTAACATAGTCCATCATACCCTGTACAGACTTGTCTCTGAGGTCTGTGTCCCAAGGTATTTCACTTAGGAAACTTCTCATCTGTTCATAATTCCCCTTTCGGTATGCCAGCCTTTTGATTCCTAGTTCTTTTTGGGGGGAGATAAGTCCTAGCTCTACCAGGTACTCAAAGTTCAATACACTGTGGTCACTCATTCCCAAGGGCGCTTCCATCTTAACTTCCCTTATATCCCATTCATTTAGGGTAAATATCAAATCAAGCATTGCTGGTTCATCTTCTCCTCTCATTCTTGTTGGCTCTTTGGTATGCTGGCTTAGAAAGTTTCTTGTTGCCACGTCCAGCAGCTTAGCTCTCCATGTTTCTGGTCCTCCATGCGGGTCTCTGTTCTTCCAATCTATCTTCCCATGGTTGAAGTCTCCCATAATTAGTAGTCCAGATCCATTCCTGCTAGCAACAGAAGCTGCTCTTTCTATTATGTTAATGGTGGCCATGTTGTTTCTATCATATTCCTGTCTAGGTCTTCTGTCATTTGGTGGTGGATTATATATGACTGCGACTATAATTTTCTTCCCTCCATTTGTTACAGTACCTGCTATGTAGTCACTGAAACCTTCACAGCCCTGAATATCCATCTCCTCAAAATCCCAGCCTTTTCTTACCAGCAGAGCTACACCACCCCCACCTCTTCCTTCCCTCTCTTTCCGCATAACATAATAGTCCTGTGGAAACACTGCATTTGTTATTGTTTTCGTGATCTTTGTTTCTGTGAGGGCTATTATGTCTGGGTTTTCCTCTAGTACCAGTTCTCCAAGCTCATTTGCTTTATTTGTAATTCCATCTATGTTAGTGTACATCGCTTTGAGGCTCACTTTCTTCTGTCCCTTCTCAAATCGCCTCCTTGGTGAGTGTTCTGCTGGTGGGGGAGGCTGTTCCATGGGTGTGAGGACCTGTGAGGTGGGTAACAGGATCTCAGAGGATACTGGAATGAGGGGCGGGGGATCCAGTGAAGGGGGAGGGACAGGGAGGGTATGGGGTGAAAGGGGAGGGAGGACGGGAAGGAAAGGGGGGAGGGAGGACTCGGGAGGAGGGGAGGGGTAGAAGGGTGGGGATTGGGTGTGGGGGGAGGGAGATTTGGCTGAACTTTTGAGTGGGGGCAGGGAGGGTTTGGGGTAGGGGGGTTTTCTATGCAGAGTACAGGGAATGTGTACAGGGTCACACGTACATGGTGCTGTAATGTGTACAGGGTCACATGTACATGGTGCTGTAATGTGTACAGGGTGACATGTACAAGGTGCTGTAATGTGTACAGGGTCACATGTACAAGGTGCTGTAATGTGTACAGGGTCACATGTACAAGGTGCTGTAATGTGTACAGGGTCACATGTACATGGTGCTGTAATGTGTACAGGGTCACATGTACATGGTGCTGTAATGTGTACAGGGTCACATGTACATGGTGCTGTAATGTGTACAGGGTCACATGTACAAGGTGCTGTAATGTGTACAGGGTCACATGTACATGGTGCTGTAATGTGTACAGGGTCACATGTACATGGTGCTGTAATGTGTACAGAGTCACATGTACATGGTGCTGTAATGTGTACAGGGTGACATGTACATGGTGCTGTAATGTGTACAGGGTGACATGTACATGGTGCTGTAATGTGTACAGGGTGACATGTACAAGGTGCTGTAATGTGTACAGGGTCACATGTACATGGTGCTGTAATGTGTACAGGGTCACATGTACATGGTGTTGTAATGTGTACAGGGTCACATGTACAAGGTGCTGTAATGTGTACAGGGTGACATGTACATGGTGCTGTAATGTGTACAGGGTGACATGTACAAGGTGCTGTAATGTGTACAGGGTCACATGTACATGGTGCTGTAATGTGTACAGGGTGACATGTACAAGGTGCTGTAATGTGTACAGGGTCACATATACATGGTGCTGTAATGTGTACAGGGTCACATGTACAAGGTGCTGTAATGTGTACAGGGTCACACGTACATGGTGCTGTAATGTGTACAGGGTGACATGTACAAGGTGCTGTAATGTGTACAGGGTGACATGTACAAGGTGCTGTAATGTGTACAGGGTCACATGTACAAGGTGCTGTAATGTGTACAGGGTCACATGTACAAGGTGCTGTAATGTGTACAGGGTCACATGTACAAGGTGCTGTAATGTGTACAGGGTCACATGTACATGGTGCTGTAATGTGTACAGGGTCACATGGTGCTGTAATGTGTACAGGGTCACATGTACAAGGTGCTGTAATGTGTACAGGGTCACATGTACATGGTGCTGTAATGTGTACAGGGTCACATGTACAAGGTGCTGTAATGTGTACAGGGTCACATGTACATGGTGCTGTAATGTGTACAGGGTCACATGTACAAGGTGCTGTAATGTGTACAGGGTCACATGGTGCTGTAATGTGTACAGGGTCACATGTACAAGGTGCTGTAATGTGTACAGGGTCACATGTACATGGTGCTGTAATGTGTACAGGGTCACATGTACATGGTGCTGTAATGTGTACAGGGTCACATGTACATGGTGCTGTAATGTGTACAGGGTCACATGGTGCTGTAATGTGTACAGGGTCACATGTACAAGGTGCTGTAATGTGTACAGGGTCACATGGTGCTGTAATGTGTACAGGGTCATATGTACAAGGTGCTGTAATGTGTACAGGGTCACATGTACAAGGTGCTGTAATGTGTACAGGGTCACATGTACAAGGTGCTGTAATGTGTACAGGGTCACATGTACAAGGTGCTGTAATGTGTACAGGGTCACATGTACAAGGTGCTGTAATGTGTACAGGGTCACATGTACATGGTGCTGTAATGTGTACAGGGTCACATGTACATGGTGCTGTAATGTGTACAGGGTCACATGTACAAGGTGCTGTAATGTGTACAGGGTCACATGGTGCTGTAATGTGTACAGGGTCACATGGTGCTGTAATGTGTACAGGGTCACATGTACAAGGTGCTGTAATGTGTACAGGGTGACATGTACAAGGTGCTGTAATGTGTACAGGGTCACATGGTGCTGTAATGTGTACAGGGTCACATGTACAAGGTGCTGTAATGTGTACAGGGTCACATGTACATGGTGCTGTAATGTGTACAGGGTCACATGTACATGGTGCTGTAATGTGTACAGGGTCACATGTACAAGGTGCTGTAATGTGTACAGGGTCACATGTACAAGGTGCTGTAATGTGTACAGGGTCACATGTACAAGGTGCTGTAATGTGTACAGGGTCACATGTACATGGTGCTGTAATGTGTACAGGGTCACATGTACATGGTGCTGTAATGTGTACAGGGTCACATGTACATGGTGCTGTAATGTGTACAGGGTCACATGGTGCTGTAATGTGTACAGGGTCACATGTACAAGGTGCTGTAATGTGTACAGGGTCACATGTACAAGGTGCTGTAATGTGTTATCTGTGCTCACATATGTTTTTTTGTTCTCCCATTCTATCTTATAGTTAAAGTCTTTCTATAATTAGTAGTTAGAAACCATTCTTATAAGAGACAAATGCTCATTGTATTAGAGTAATAGTTGGCATGATGTCTGTCATCTGGGTACTCTAACAGTCAATGTAGGGTGTATATCATTACTATTACTATCTTGGGAGCCGGTCGGCCGAGTGAACAGCACGCTGGACTTGTGATCCTGTGGTCCCAGGTTTGATCCCGGGCGCCGGAGAGAAACAATGGGCAGAGTTTCTTTCACCCTATGCCCATTACCTAGCACTAAAATAGGTACCTGGGTGTTCCCGAAATCATCTCAAGATAACCTCCCATTGTAAGGCACGGCTATTTTGGTTTGAATTTTCCACCTTAAGCTCCTGCCCACTATATTTTGAACTGATCACACACCGAGAACAGTTCTGCACACAGCTATAGACTTACAGTCTGGAAATATCTATCTGGTGGTTAGAAAATTAAATACAATGTGTGTTCCAGAAAATGTAGATTTAAACAGCAATATACTGTATATGTATACATATTTATAAGTTTTAGAGTAATGTGATTTTCCAAGTACACGAGTTATTTTTTACCTAACCTAGTATTCCCCACCACTTCTCTAAACAGTGCAGTGCTTACTGTCAGTGTTTCAGGAAACTATTACTAAATTTCACACACACAGGTATATAAAGTATAAAAACAACAATAAATGGGAAAAATATAACAGTATTTGTTTGTATTTGTCGTTGCTCATATTTACATGCACCTTATTCCATATGAACACACGCTCAATACTTTGAAAAGTTACCTGTTCTTCGGCTTTTCCCAACATGTTCATGGCTCTCATGTTTACATTTTTCGATAATTTGGTTTTGAGTTCTTCTAATTTGGTGATTTTGCGTCCAGCTTCCACTGGATCATTAGCTGTGAAGTCATAACCAGTGTTGGGCTGGCCAAAGAACTTGCGGTCCTCTGATATCCATTCATGTTCAGAGAGCATCTGAGCAACCTGAGAGGCATAAGACATCATTCAGAAATACGTTACCATGGTTACAAGGAAGGAAGAGACAAAGTGTAAATAAAAACCATCACACAGATAGCATAGTTGCTCATAAGGGACAAAAATTGATCTAATTACTTCAAGCATACAGTAGTAAGCAGATGATGAGTCACAATAACGTGGCTCAAGATATGATGACCAAACCACACACCAGAAGATGAAAAAAGAAGAAACGTTGTCTCTCTTCGTCGTCTGATGTGTGGTTTGGTCATCATGCAGTAGTAATTTTACCTGTAGCTCAACCATAAGGCCACAACCATTAGTAATGTTACTACCACTACAGTTAGGCAGCCATAACCAAAAACTACCTCTCACCTTCCACTCACCTCAAAATGAACACACCAAACAAACCAATCGGCCTCAGGCCACCACTAGGAGAAATATTAAAGCTCCACCTCTACTCTAGGATACTTTGTTGGAGTAGAGGTGTTGGAGTAGAGGTGGCACTACTTAACACAACAGAAGTTGTGCTAAGCCCCAGGGAGGAGGGATGGGTAGCTGCATTAGGATCAAAATCACACAAGGACGGGGGTAAGAAACCCTCTTCCCTTTAAGCAAAAGGCCTCTGTCAGACACAACCTTCTGTTCCGCCAGTTCCCATACCCTCCACACCCCATTTCATCTTTTACAATCTCTTTCTTCTGGGTCTAAAAAACAATCCGACTTTCCTCCAAGGTCATTTTCCTGTTTGCTGTCACTTTTTCAAATGAAATTTAGCGTGTGTCAGGATGCATATACTGTACCTGCATGTTGATCCAAAACGACATTTTCCCTTCTTAACTGTATTTCAACATTTTCTGGGATGAAGGTAACTGCAATATAATCTGTTTTCTCTTTCCAGAATATGTCTGCAAATGCCCTTTGCACATTATCGGAATGTTTGTCTTTCCAGTCTGTCATTTCCATCAAAGTGTTTTGCAATGTGTGCTGTGTAACACTTTCCTGCCTGCCGGCATCTTTGTCCGCGTGTACTGTTAAACATTCTTTTCTGCCATTATCTTTATTTGCATATAATGAATCGAAGTTTACTTTTCTCTGTTTTTGTACTGACTATTATTTCGGTTTTTGCAGCATTTGCCTCTACACATTACTGTTCATCCCCAGTCTGCCTGAATAGTTGGTATGTATTCCAGGAGAAAGTTGTTTTATAACCAGATGATAAGTTATCCAGGATATTTGTTAATATATTCCAGGCATCCATATCTGTCCTGTATATCCCAAAAATGGTGATGTATACAACTGTCATGACTGTTTTTTACTTCTCCCCCAAAGCCACCCCAAAATAAAACTTATACCAAAGAGAATGAATTCAACTGCATAACATTTTTTTCCCAAAAAATTTAAGATACATATTGTTATGGCTACACTGGAGCTTAGAAGAACTAAAAATAAGCTGACCAGCAACAGTATATACACTGGGAGTTACAACAGTGGGAGTCATGAAGATAGTTGTTGCCGTACAGTGCTTAATATATTTGCAGTTACAGGTTGCATCATGTGATCTTGAAATGAATATATTCAATATTTAATGTAAAACTATTTGTAATGAAAACAATGCTTCCTTAGCTTCAAAATCAGCTCAACATGAAGGTTTTACCTCAATTAGAAGTAAAGGTATGAATTTTTCTTCTTGAGCTTGTATGAAGATATTTTATACAGTGGCACCTCGATTAATGAGCGGCTCTATCTACGAGCATTTCAAGCAACGAGCGAGCCACTCGCAGAACATTTGTCTCTACTAACGAGCTTTTCCTCAATTAACGAGTGTTTCCACTGGTTCTTGGACACCTTTTACGACAGTTTTGTTGTTTCTCAAGACGAGTTTTCCACACGACGAGCTCGGTGCCGGAACGGATTAAACTCGTTAATCAAGGTGCCACTGTATTTTTCACACTGGCAACCATCCTATATGAATATCATGTACCACTGAGGGGCTGAAATTTTGTACACTATATGCAAATTACATCGTGTCCTCTACCATTCTACCAAATTTCATGAAAATCTGAGATGGCGGGGCTGAGAAATTCCGCTTTTTGTGATGATTTGTTATGGAATGAACCCAAGGGGTAATTGCAAAGGTCCTTGTTTCTAGTAGGATGTGAGATTCGTCCAGAAAGTTACGTTTAACTGACCTGTATAAACAGGCAGAGTATTAGCTAGGGATCCACTTTGGGAAGAGTCAAGCACAAAAATTGAGCTGCTAATATGTTGAAATTTTGCCAGTATTGTTTTATCCAGTTTTTTACTTACGCAGATATCCTCAAACACATTAGTTCAAATAATGGGCTTTATTTTGTGTAATACAAATTCAGAAATTGCATTACGATATAGAGGTAGGTTAAGTGGCCATCTGGGGGTCAGTGTCCACTACTGTACTGTAGTTGTACCATCATTGGGGTCAGTGTCTACTATTGTACTGTAGTTGAACCATCATTGGGGTCAGTGACCACTATTGTACTGTAGTTGTACCATCATTGGGGTCAGTGTCCACTATTGTACTGTAGTTGTACCATCATTGGGGTCAGTATCTACTATTGTACTGTAGTTGTACCATCATTGGGGTCAGTGTCTACTATTGTACTGTAGTTGTACCATCATTGGGGTCAGTGTCCACTATTGTACTGTAGTTGTACCATCATTGGGGTCAGTGTCTACTATTGTACTGTAGTTGTACCGTCATTGGGGTCAGTGTCCACTATTGTACTGTAGTTGTACCATCATTGGGGTCAGTGTCCACTATTGTACTGTAGTTGTACCATCATTGGGGTCAGTGACCACTACTGTACTGTAGTTGTACCATCATTGGGGTCAGTGACCACTACTGTACTGTAGTTGTACCATCATTGGGGTCAGTGACCACTATTGTACTGTAGTTGTACCATCATTGGGGTCAGTGACCACTATTGTACTGTATTTGTACCATCATTGGGGTCAGTGACCACTACTGTACTGTAGTTGTACCATCATTGGGGTCAGTGACCACTACTGTACTGTAGTTGTACCATCATTGGGGTCAGTGACCACTACTGTACTGTAGTTGTACCATCATTGGGGTCAGTGACCACTATTGTACTGTAGTTGTACCATCATTGGGGTCAGTGACCACTATTGTACTGTAGTTGTACCATCATTGGGGTCAGTGACCACTACTGTACTGTAGTTGTACCATCATTGGGGTCAGTGACCACTATTGTACTGTAGTTGTACCATCATTGGGGTCAGTGACCACTATTGTACTGTAGTTGTACCATCATTAGGGTCAGTGGCCACTACTGCACTGTAGTTGTACCATCATTGGGGTCAGTGTCCACTACTGCACTGTAGTTGTACCATCATTGGGGTCAGTGACCACTATTGTACTGTAGTTGTACCATCATTAGGGTCAGTGGCCACTACTGCACTGTAGTTGTACCATCATTGGGGTCAGTGTCCACTATTGTACTGTAGTTGTACCATCATTGGGGTCAGTGTCCACTACTGCACTGTAGTTGTACCATCATTGGGGTCAGTGACCACTACTGTACTGTAGTTGTACCATCATTGGGGTCAGTGTCCACTACTGCACTGTAGTTGTACCATCATTAGGGTCAGTGACCACTATTGTACTGTAGTTGTACCATCATTAGGGTCAGTGGCCACTACTGCACTGTAGTTGTACCATCATTGGGGTCAGTGTCCACTACTGTACTGTAGTTGTACCATCATTGGGGTCAGTGTCCACTACTGCACTGTAGTTGTACCATCATTGGGGTCAGTGACCACTACTGTACTGTAGTTGTACCATCATTGGGGTCAGTGTCCACTACTGTACTATAGTTGTACCATCATTGGGGTCAGTGACCACTACTGTACTGTAGTTGTACCATCATTGGGGTCAGTGTCCACTACTGTACTATAGTTGTACCATCATTGGGGTCAGTGTCCACTACTGTACTGTAGTTGTACCATCATTGGGGTCAGTGTCCACTACTGCACTGTAGTTGTACCATCATTGGGGTCAGTGACCACTACTGTACTGTAGTTGTACCATCATTGGGGTCAGTGACCACTACTGTACTGTAGTTGTACCATCATTGGGGTCAGTGTCCACTACTGTACTGTAGTTGTACCATCATTGGGGTCAGTGTCCACTACTGTACTGTAGTTGTACCATCATTGGGGTCAGTGTCCACTACTGCACTGTAGTTGTACCATCATTGGGGTCAGTGACCACTACTGTACTGTAGTTGTACCATCATTGGGGTCAGTGTCCACTACTGCACTGTAGTTGTACCATCATTGGGGTCAGTGACCACTACTGTACTGTAGTTGTACCATCATTGGGGTCAGTGTCCACTACTGCACTGTAGTTGTACCATCATTGGGGTCAGTGACCACTACTGTACTGTAGTTGTACCATCATTGGGGTCAGTGTCCACTACTGCACTGTAGTTGTACCATCATTGGGGTCAGTGACCACTACTGTACTGTAGTTGTACCATCATTGGGGTCAGTGTCCACTACTGTACTGTAGTTGTACCATCATTGGGGTCAGTGTCCACTACTGTACTGTAGTTGTACCATCATTGGGGTCAGTGACCACTACTGTACTGTAGTTGTACCATCATTGGGGTCAGTGTCCACTACTGCACTGTAGTTGTACCATCATTGGGGTCAGTGTCCACTACTGCACTGTAGTTGTACCATCATTGGGGTCAGTGTCCACTATTGTACTGTAGTTGTACCATCATTGGGGTCAGTGTCCACTACTGTACTGTAGTTGTACCATCATTGGGGTCAGTGACCACTACTGTACTGTAGTTGTACCATCATTGGGGTCAGTGGCCACTACTGTACTGTAGTTGTACCATCATTGGGGTCAGTGTCCACTACTGCACTGTAGTTGTACCATCATTGGGGTCAGTGTCCACTACTGTACTGTAGTTGTACCATCATTGGGGTCAGTGTCCACTACTGTACTGTAGTTGTACCATCATTGGGGTCAGTGACCACTACTGTACTGTAGTTGTACCATCATTGGGGTCAGTGTCCACTACTGTACTGTAGTTGTACCATCATTGGGGTCAGTGTCCACTACTGTACTGTAGTTGTACCATCATTGGGGTCAGTGACCACTACTGTACTGTAGTTGTACCATCATTGGGGTCAGTGACCACTACTGTACTGTAGTTGTACCATCATTGGGGTCAGTGTCCACTACTGTACTGTAGTTGTACCATCATTGGGGTCAGTGTCCACTACTGCACTGTAGTTGTACCATCATTGGGGTCAGTGACCACTACTGCACTGTAGTTGTACCATCATTACAGTTCCTACATAGAGAACATTCAACACACGAGACATGGGAGCTGGCATGACATTCCTGCTGCTGCTGATGTATGCTAATGACCCGCCCTATCCCCACTTGGGTGGAATAACAAGGAATTCACAAAAACGGAAGCTACAAAAAATAAAAGAGGTTAAAGATATAGTGGCACTCTACCTGACTACTGTAAAGCAACAAACCACGAAAATTTTCAATTTGAATTAGCATCATAGTAAGTGAAATATGGTACAATCATAGTAGTGTGTGAAGGCTTGAATGAACTACAAAGTCAATTTGTTGCATGGAGGCTTTTGTTTGACCTACAAGCTCCTGGCAACTCCCAAGGGACTTTTTGGCATTTATTGTTTTGGGATGTTACTTACTATTCTAAGTTGTATAGTGAAATATCTTCATAATAACCCTCAAGAACCATTAGTTAAGTACAAGCCCATCTTAATCAATCTTGGTTTAATACTGAATTTATTGAAATGATCTTCGTTTTGGGTAATAAATGAGCATTCACCAGCGAACAATTTGATGTACAGGTACTTTTATTTTAAATTGGGCAAAAATATCAAATAATTATAAAGAATTCTGCTCTTATCAAGTATGGTGAGGTTGAAGAGTGTGAGAATCTCACATTGTGCCCATGGGGGTGTTATAAGCCCAATCAGAGAACACTGAATAAACATCAAAGGTCCACGGTTGTTCAACATCCTCCCAGCGAGTATAAGAAATATTGCCGGAACAACCGTGGATATCTTCAAGAGAAAACTAGATTGTTTTCTTCAAGAAGTGCTGGACCAACCAGGCTGTAGTGGGTATGTAGGCCTGCGAACCGCTCCAAGCAGCAACCTGTTGGACCAAGCTCTCACAAGTCAAGCCTGGCCTCGGGTTAGGCTTGGGGAGTAGAAGAACTCCCAGAACCCCATCAAGCAGGTATATGTGCGCCTACGGGCCGCTCCAAGCAACAGCCTTGTGGACCAAGCTCTCACAAGTCAAGACTGGCCTCGGGTCGGGCTCGGGGAGTAGAAGAACTTCCAGAACCCCATGAACCAGGTATGGAGCTGGGAGGCAATTCACTCTGGCACACACCACCAGTGTGACAACCGAGAGGCAACTAGATGGTTGTGCCCAATACCTACTCTTGTATTGTGTCATATTTTATGTTTAATGGACACATTTCCAGACAGCCCACTGTATATCCAAGACTTGAATTAAGAATATAAAGATATTCACCTTATTTTCAGCATCCTTTGCTTCGGACTTCAGTTTTGAAAGTTTATGATCAAGCTGTTTGATTTCAAGTTGGGCTTCATCGCTATTCTTGATGATCTGTTCCTTACGTGCTGTCATAGCATTAATTTCCTTGTTTTGTGCTTGTAACATCTCCTTTTGTTCCTTCACAGCTGACTGAGCTGCAGTAACCTCACTCTGTAAAATAAACATAATTAAAAAATCTGCATTCTAAAGAACGAGTTGGGAAATGCAATGTCTTAAATACATTACTTAATTTACATAAACTAAATTTTGTTCAGATTGTTGATGAAACATTATTTCTTGCCATCAATACTTAGCATTTTGAAGTTAATGGTACAATATGAAATTTACGACAAAATTATTCACAAAAGGGAAACAGCATTTACAGTAGCAAAAAAAAATGTGATCAATTGCAAGGAGCCAGACAGCATTAAGCTCCACTCTCAATCATTCTGGAGCACAGTACTTGACTGTTGAGGAGGAGCTGTACACACCTTGGCCCTTGCAACTTCCTCTTCAAGAACATTGAGCTGTGCCTGGTACTGCTCCATGACCTCTACGGACGTAGCAATTTGGCCCTTGGTCGTCTCTATGCTTTGTTCCAGTTCACACAGTTCCAACTTTAAACTTTCCTCCTCCTGTGAATACCAGAGTAACATATTAATCATTAATCTACTTGTATCTCTGATTCCAAATTCCTTTTAAAAATAATAGAGGAGGGCTGGATGGATAGACAAGATTTGTCTTCCAGACACTGACACCACCGATTCATGCAGAAAAATGCAGTAAAAAAACCAGCACTGAATGTAATGAAAACGCCATTTTCTGGGTGAGACCCGGAGGCTCCCCGGAGCTTTACCGGCTGATATGCTAATGTCAGACTTTGGCATCAGTCATGTGTATGGAGTTCTAGGGCCTACCGGGGACCACGAGCCAGAACCTGGCCCCCTCAGAGAGGCAAGGGGAGCAATGGCCTATAGAAACCCCCGTGTGGTTGGAAGCATTCTATGTCTGCCGTCGACCGGGTCAAGCATCCAGAAAGGTAAGCATTCCAAAACAAACCCCTATTCTGGTGAAAATTGCTACCTAAGCCAAACTAGTGGATAGAACTCTTCAACAGAAAACAAGGAAACTAGTATGACGTCATACGTCACCGTGCCGCTGTCTGCGCAGCTCCCCCCTCCCCGGGAGGGGGAAGGGGGAGCCCCAGACCTCCCACGCCGGCTATCCACTCATCAGTTCTGAGGCTGGATGTCAAAACACGCAAAAAAACGCCGACCGGAGGGAGGGAGGGTTGCCGGGGAGCCTCCGGGTCTCACCCAGAAAATGGCGTTTCATTACATTCAACGCTGGTTTTCTGGGGGAAGCCCTGTCGGCTCCCCGGAGCTAACTACCCACAGAGAAAGGTCAAAGGGACAGAACCGGGAGGCGGACACCATGCACCCCCCAAAGAGGCGAGACAACCGGCAGCAAACGCCCAGACGGCAGCGAAGCCACAAACGCCACAGGCATGAGGGAAGAACACAGGTAGCTTAGCCGCAAGAACACGGCTGACCACCCGGGACACTATCACCTGCGAACCGGGAAGAACAGAACCGGATCAACGCAAAACGCGCTCCGGACCCAAACGCCGTGGCACGCAAACAACAGCGGAGGGCCGCCACTGAACACAAAAAACGACACACCCCCGGCCCGACAAACGAAGCACCAACAAACTCTGGACCCCTCCAGAACGCAGCAGCCCCACCCCGCGCCAGAAAAGATAGAGACTGCTGCCACCGAACCACCAAAACGCTAAAACCGAAGGAGCAAGAAAACTCAGCGACTCGACCCCCAGAGGCAAAGGCGAAAAGGAAAGAGCCGACGAAAAAACACACCGGAACCGAAGGGGCACTAACAACTGAGGAGAAGACAGAGCACGCTGACCAGAGACCAGGATGGTGCAAGCGCCGCACGAACAGGCCGGAGGTGAAACGACGCACAAGACAGCTGACTAACGGTGCAGAAGCAACACCAAGACCAAAAGCAAGCTGAAGCGGCTCCGCCCGCGCCGCACGAAAAGAGGCGACAGTATGTGGCAAGACGACGGCCCCCAACCCCCACCAGAAAACCAAGCCGAGAGGAAACCAAGCTAACAAAAGTAACCACCTAAGAAGGGACAGGAAAAGGAAGGACCGCCAAAATACCCCATACTGCCGCCAAGAGAAGCACGCAGGTGGGACACCAACCACGAAGCCACCCGACCACCAACCGGAGGCGAGACTGCGAGGCAGAACATAAGCAGCCCCGACAAGGCCCCTCCGAGCCCAGGAAAAGGTGGAGCCGCGGGAAGATCTCGGCACGACCACCGAAACCCAGGCGGCACAAGGAGATGGAATGTATGCCGAACAGAAAAACTCCCCAAAGAATGCAAGCCCGCCAGGAGGTCAGAAACGACGGGTCCGACGCGAGACATCGCAACATCCCCCCAAAAAAAAACCGGCAGGGCAAGCTAGGAAACCAAAGAAGGCGGAAGGGTCGCCGCCAGAACAGTGCCCGAACCAAGGGGTACGAATAACTGCAATAGACCGAGACAAAGAAGCACATCACAGGACACAGGCTGAAAAACGCCCAAGAACACCCCTGCTGCAGAGGAGGCAGGAAGAAAGAGCAGAAGCACAAAAACCCCAGGATAACAACCAGGGGTGGACAATCAGGCAGGGACAGAAAAACCCCCACGCAATCCCCAGGCACAAAACGGCAGCAAAGTGCCACTCCACAACCGGAAACAGGAACAAGGACACGCCACCGTGAAACACGGTACCACTGCACACGTGCAGCAGCAGCAACAGGCACCACTGCAACATGCAACATGTAAATAGCAACTCCCTTCTGCAAAGGCAGAGAACGGAGCAGGCAGACCCCAGACAGGGCCAACGGAGACACGACAAAACCTCGCAGGCCCAGAAACCTGCACCAGGCGACCGACGGCGGAGAAACCCCACTCGATACCTGCTGGATGAGGTACTGGGAGCTCTGTTACACCTCAAGCCCGGCCCAAGGCCAGGCTAGACCGGCCAGAGGGTGGCCCACCAGGCAGCTGCTAGGAGCAGTCCACCGGCCCACATACCCCCACAACCAGGACGGGCCGAAACTGCCATACGAAAACAAGCTAGTGCGCCCTGGAAGTCCACGGACGAACCAGCAAGAAGGCTTATGCTCGCAAGTAGGTCCTGTAACAAGCACAGACCTCTGATGGTAATACAGTGTTCCCCAATTGTGCCCATAGCACCACTGCACTCCACTGGTACTATCCCGCAAGTTCTACCAGATAGGCGGGACCCAAGAGCCAGAGCTCAAATCCTGCAAGCACAGCCAGGAGCCTTACCAGGTGAGTACAGAACCAACCCTACAACCCCCACACCTCACAACATTAAAAAAGGAGGGTCCCCGGAATGACTCCAGCATGGGTTGGACATGCACATGAGGGGGACAGGAAGGGTTGAAAAAGGGACAGTCACTGGTGTGCGAACGGTCTCAGTCGTACAAAAATATACCTAAATAAAGACAGGTATATAAACAACTCCGCATCCAGAGCCCGGCCAAAGACGCCAGACCGCAGAAACTCACCTGGCGAACGGTGGCACAAACTTGACACGACTCAACCGTGCCCAGAAGAACCTGGGAGCACCGCCAGGTGAAGACGCCAGAGCCGGACCCTGCCGGACCCGCAGGAGAGCAGGGAGAGGCGAAGGAGGCGGTCCACACCCATGACACAGGGAAAACCGCGGTGTCCTCCCCACAACTGGGAACCAGGACACCCCCGGCGCGAAGGGGCATATACCGCAGCCAGGGAGAAGAACGAGAGGCGAAGCACTGTAGCAAAAAGGGCGCAAAACACCAGCACTGAAACACCGCCCAGACCAAAACAAACTCCACGGCGCATGCGCATAGGACGCTGGCCGAACTGCACACCCTCTCTGCGGGAAGGCGCCAGCCAGGACTACTGCACGAGAAAAGTAGCCAAAAGAGGAAGCAGGAACAATAAAACCGGCCAAAGAAGCAAAGAGCCCAAAAAGCAGCCCAACCGGGCGACAAGCAACCCAACCGGGCGACAAGCAGCCCAACCGGGCGACAAGCAGCCCAACCGGGCGACAAGCAGCCCAACCGGGCGACAAGTAGCCCAACAGGGCGACAAGTAGACCAACAGGGCGACAAGGAGCCGACAGACGTTCCAATAATGCGGGAAGTAGCGAAAAACCTTCCCGTACCCTCGAGAACACAGAAGCCAACACTAGTCCCGAAGGCACACGAAGGCGCAGGCGCACCCGAGATCAGAAGTCACGCAGAACCCCATCGAACGGGAAAACATGACGAAAACACCGACCCAAAAAGGGGTGGGAGGAAACATCCACCCACAGGACGGAACCAACCGACTCAAATGCCAAGGAACCGAGCCCGGGGAGGGGCCGACGCCCAACAGCACGTACGGCGAGTGGGGAGGAAAGACCCTACTCCGCGTAACCACAAGCCCCGCCTAGAGGGGGATAAAAACCCCCACGGGGTCCAACGGGGCCAAGGCCCCCCAAGTCAGCCCCTCCCCAGCCCCGGGAACCTACACGACAGGCCCCGGGGCCGAGCCGTTCCCCCAAAGCCCCGGCCGTACCAGAAAAGCGGGGCAGCCGTGAAAACACTAAGGAAGGGAGCCCACTGGCAGACTCATACAACACGGCTGGAGGAACAGGCTCAAATGCCCCTGTCACTACCCCGGAAGGGGAATTCCCCGAGACTGCCCGAGTCTCAACACCACCAAACACCCCGCCCTGAACCTACAGACGGTAAGGAACCGGATGCAGGCAGGAAGGGTGAACCAGGGGAAAGACAAGGGGGCGTGGATGGAACCGAAGCAACCAACACCCCCAAGTCCCAAAACGAACTACAACGGGGCAGCCCCGGGGCTCCCGGGGAGGAAACCACGAGAACGTTGCCACCACCAAGGCTCAAGTGCAACGCCCCTGCTGCCCGCACCCGCTTTGTTAGCACAACTGGGTAACCGAGCCCCAACGACCAACCAAACTCGCAGGACTCTGGGTCGAAGGTGTCACCGACCCCACAGGCAGCAGACGGGGGCAAAACAGAGAGTCACCCAGAGACAAAAGGTGAGAGCAACCCTCAAACTCGCTGGAAGCGAGGGGGGGGGACTCTGGGGTCACATCCATCGGACCCGCGCGCCCCCAGGGGTTTCCCAGGGTCCTGAGCGTTTACTATAAGAGGACTCGCGCTCAGGTAATCCCAGGCAGGGTACTGCTAACCGGCACTCAAAGCTACCAAACAACTTTCTAAGAGCTGAACCCCCGGGACGTGTACACTCACGGGGACCTAGCAGGGAGTACCACCAGAAAATACCCAGAACACAAGGGGCAAGAACGAAGGCAGATCCCCCCACCAGGTTGATAAACAAAAAGAAAAAGAAAACCCCGCAAGAGGACAGTGTACCCAAGCGGAACAGAGCCGGCCGCTATGATTGGTAAAGACAAGCTGCACAGTACCCTGCGCCCCACCAGTGCAAAAACTTCCCCTTTCTCTAAGGCGAACAAGGGAGACAGAACACCCGAGCACACAAAGAGTGGCCGAAAACCAAGCAGTAAACGGCCAAGCAGGGGCAGGACCCAAGGAACTTGTGGAAGGTGGCCCCAAGCCCCAAGGGCAGTACTTACAGGGCACCTAGGGAAGGGAACCCTAGGCGCATGCAGCCCGAGTACTGGAGAATCACTCCCGGCTCACGCACCACCTAGAAAACAGACACCACACTCTAGGTACAGTGCTGAAACAACCACTGGAGCCGGAGCACATAACCGTTGCCTATAGCATCAGCCGAAGAACTGATGAGTGGATAGCCGGCGTGGGAGGTCTGGGGCTCCCCCTTCCCCCTCCCGGGGAGGGGGGAGCTGCGCAGACAGCGGCGTGGTGACGAATGACGTCATACTAGTTTCCTTGTTTTCTGTTGAAGAGTTCTATCCACTAGTTCGGCTTTAGGTAGCAATTTTCACCAGAATAGGGGTTTGTTTTGGAATGCTTACCTTTCTGGATGCTTGACCCGGTCGATGGCAGACATAGAATGCTTCCAACCACACGGGGGTTTCTATAGGCCATTGCTCCCTTTGCCTCTCTGAGGGGGCCAGGTTCTGGCCGTGGTCCCCGGTAGGCCCTAGAACTCCATACACATGACTGATGCCAAAGTCTGACATTAGCATATCAGCCGGTAAAGCTCCGGGGAGCCGACGGGGCTCCCCCCAGAAAACCAGTGTTGAATGTAATGAAACGCCTTTTTCTGGGCGAGTCCCATAGGCTCCAGGGAGCTATCCATGGCTGATATGGATACCCTATTTTACATCAGTCGATGTGGGTGGAGTTCTAGGCCTACTGGGATCCATGAGCCAGAACATGGTCCCCTCAGAGAGGCATGAGAAGCAATGGCCCATAGAATGCACATGTGATTTTAGAGCATCTATATCTGCCATCGACCAGGACTGGCACCCAAAAAGGTACGCGTAACAAAACAAACCCAGATTCTAGTTAAAAACAATGAAAATAGACAAACAAGTGGACAGAACTCCCCAATTGAAAACAAGTAAACAAGCACGACCTCACACGAGCCGCGACGCATGTCTGCACAGCTCTCCCCTTCCCAGGAGGGGAGAACGGGGAGCTCCAGATCCCCAAGCTGGAGATCCACCCAACAGTTCCAAGGCTGGATATCAAAATACGCAAAACCCACCGACTGGAGGGAGGGAGGGTTGCCGGAGAGCCTCTGGGACTCAACCAGAAAAAGGCGTTTCATTACATTCAAAGCTGGTTTTTTTGGGGGGGAGCCCCTATGGCTGCCCGGAGCTACGTCACCAAAGACAACATAAAGAAGGGGACTTACCCGGGAGGCAGTCGGTGCTCCACACCTCAACTCGAAGTTTAGACAACATGCTGCAGCCGCCGACCCAAAGCAACACAAGTCTGAATAGGCCTAGGAACGTTAACGAGGTAATGTGCAGTCAGGACCCTGTTCAGCCGCCAAAAACCCCGTGCTCGAATGTCAGCCCAGGACATGTTCCCAAAAACTGCAGCAAGAGCACCAAACTTACGAACACCATGGGCACGGGGATAGACCGCAGGCTGGCTAGACTTAATAACCCTGTGTATGACCTGAAAGACCCATATCTGCGAACAGGGAAGAAAGGAAACCGGATCAAGGGCGTCCCCGGCCACAGAAGCTGTGACGCACAAATAACGGCGAAGGGCTGCAACCGGATACAACACATGATGCACCCCAGCCTGACCAACCAAGCATCAACAACCCAAGGACCCCTCCAGAAAGCAGTAGTCTCATTCTTAACACTTTCGCGCTTTAAATTAGAGATAACTCGTCGCCGTTTTCTCTTTCGATTCCGCATAATAGCCTACTTTTCTCGTCCATCGAAAAAATATTTCTATAAATTCCATTTTTTAACCGAAATGGATGGGGATACTTTTGTTTTGTAGAGAATTTATTTGCAAATGTTTTGGTACCAGAATGAATATTATATCACATAAACTTCTATGAGTAAAAAAAAAATACACAAAGTATGTTTGGGGGTGTGGCGAGCGTGTGGCAGTGGGTTCCCTTTAGCCGTTGATATATCCAACACGTGGGAAATATTTGTATGTGTTATGTATATGTCTGTGTAGGGAATTTTACTGCGATCACTGTCATACAAATTATAAAATGTTTCAACAAGTATAAACATGACAAACATCAAACGAACGAAAACAATGCGTTCGTTTCTGCCGCGAACGCATACTGAGCGATGTGGTTCTATATTTGGCGCTTCTCTTACACATGCTTTGTACAAATGTTATACAGTTCATCTTATAGAAAATTTTATTGCGAACACATTGGTATAAAAAAGAAATACGTACATAGAAAAGTAGGGTCAGGAAACGTATAAACTTTCCAAGCATGATTTCCCCCCTGTGTTTTCGCCAGTGCGCTCGCGGCTAACTACTCTCCACTTCACACACTCTTGCGGGTGGGCAATTACCTATATTAAACATTCATATGCATATGTCCGTGTAGGGAATTTTATTGTGATTCCAATGATACCAAAATTAGCGATGTAGGACAACTGTAGGCTTCGCAACCATTAAGAGAGTGGAAACATTTTGTTGCTGTTTGGCGCTCTCGGCGAGTGATCTGCATAGTTTTTTATTTGGTGTTGATACTCCTTATGCTTGGGCGGCATTTTATAGGTATGCTCTTATAGACAATTTCATTGCGAACACAGTGATACCAAATTTAAATACGTGCGCCTTCAATTATTGTCAGGACAGTCAAAAGAGTGTACACTTTTCGGTCTTACCGCGTAGGCGCGCGAAGTGCCGAAAGCATCTGGGGTATTGTTTTTTTTTGAGCGCCGAGAGCGCGAAAGTGTTAACCAGAAAAGAAGAAGACGGCTGCAAACGAACAAACCTATTACCTCGACTGAAAGAGCAGAAACCCCTGCGCCGGAGGAGAGCATGAAGCTTCCTGACCCGACCCCCAGAGGCCAACGCCAACAGAGAAAGAGCCTTCGAAAAACAATACTGAACCGAAGGGGCCACAACAAACCGAGTAGAAGAAAGGAGAGCACTCCATCCAAAGACCAAGACGGCTCAGGCGGCGCATGAGCAGGCCGGAGGTGAAACAATGCAAAAACAAAAAGAAAAGAAAAACCTCGCAAGAGGACAGCATACCCAGAAGGAACAGAGCCAGCTGCTGTTATAGGTGAAAACTAGCTACGCAGTACCCCGTGCCCCTACCAGTGCAAAAACTACCACTTACCCCAAGGCAAACTAGGGAGGAAACCCCCCAAAAACACTCAGGGCAGTCAATCTTATTGACTGCCAATCTTATAGAAATATTGTCGGAACAACCGTGGACATCTTCAAGAGAAAACTGGACTGTTTTCTAAGAGAAGTTCCGGATCAGCTTGGCTGTGATGGGTATGTGGGCCTGCGGGCCGCTCCAAGCAACAGCCTGGTGGACCAAACTCTCACAAGTCGAGCCTGGCCTTGGGCCGGGCTTGGGGAGTAGAAGAACTCCCAGAACCCCATCAAGCAGGTGTCAAGCAGGTATCAATTGCCAAGCTGTAAAAGACCAACAGAGGTAGAGCCAAGGTGACTTGTGGAAGGTAACCCCAAGTCCCTAAGCCGGTACTTACAGGGCACTCAGGAAGGATGACCCTAAGTACATGCAACCCAAGTACCTGTGAAAATTACTCCCAGCTCGCACACCCCCTAAGAGAAGTACTGAACCCAGGCTCAGCACAATAAGAATCTGGAGCTGGAGTCACAACGACCAAGCTGAATCCCATCAGCCGAGGAACTACAGGGTGGATCGCCAGCGTGGGGGTCTGGGGCTCCCCCTTTTCCCTCCTGGGAAGGGGGGAGCTGCGCAGACATGCGGCACGACATCACAAGCATGTGATGTCACGCTTGTTTGCTCGTTTTCAATTGGGGAGTTCTGTCCACTCATTTGTTTGTTTTCATTGTTGTTAACCAGAATAGGGGTTTGTTTTTTGGCGCTTACCTTTCTAGGTGCCTGTTCCGGTCAATGGCAAATATAGAATGCTCCAAAATCACATGTGCATTCTATGGGCCATTGCTCCTCATGCCTCTCTGAGGGGGGCCAGGTTCTGGCTCATCGTCCCCGGTAGGCCTAGAACTCCATCCACATCGACTGATGCCAAAAGTTAGGACTATCCCTATCAGCCTGGATAGCTCCGGGGAGCTGTAGAGACTCCCTCCAGAAAATAAAAAGCACAAAAAACAATGAAATTGTTCACAGAGAATTCAAGCGCAGTTATCACTAGATGGTATACAAGCGTAAACTGACTGAGACAAGTATGAACGAGTGTCATACACTATACACTAGGGCATATATTCCATCGAAATGTTCGTCGTAAATAGAACAAATTTGTATTCAGGTACAATCATACACTGAGGTTCCACTGTATATCTAAACATTATCTTCTACCAAACATTTGCTATATTTACTATGAATACAAATATCTACCATCAAACTTGCCTGTTTCCCAAAGCTTATTTCATGTATACAACATACCTGCTTTTTTAGGTTCCATTTGCTTCGTGTTCCTTCAGCTACTTTCTTGCATTTCTCCAGTTCCACATTAGCTGCCTTCAGCTCTTTTTCTTTTAGTGCCTTTGAATTTTTTATTTTATTTTCAATTTCCTTCACCTTTGCTTCTCCTTCAATATCTAAGTTCTTGCATCGTTCCACAGTAGCCAGACATTCCTCTGTTAAATAACAACATTAAATTGTGATAAAGTCTACACAGTCGTACACAGAAAGAGGCGCCACAGACAGTGATACGCGTTGTCTTGGGCTGGTTTCTAGCACCAGCGTGACAACCTATGCCTGCTTCTCCACTCACATTAAAAGAAAAACCATTATTATTTGCATTAGAGTTAGACATTATGAGAAATAACAGAAAGGGTCAGAATATTGATAAAAAGATATAATGTTTGCAGATGAGGAGTCATCAACGTGGCCGAAAAAATGTTGACCAAATCATACACTAGAAAGTGAAGAGATGATGACGTTTCGGTCCGTCCTGGACCATTATCAAGTCGATTGTGGTATCACAATCGACTTGATAATGGTCCACGACGAACCGAAACGTCGTTGTCTCTTCACTTTCTAGTATGTGGTTTGGTCAACAGATATAATGTTTAGTGTTGGATATAGAATCCAATGCAGGGAGAGTTTCTGTCAGGTTTTCTGTCACAGTGATGTCCTGAGGACAAGCAGGAGAGTAAGCGTAAATAATTATTATAGGGCCTGGTAACAGCCTAAAAGCTGAGGCAAACACCTACCTCTCATCCGAAGTCAGTTCAGAAAGCGAACATCTCGTCTCACACGTTGAAACAATCCAACATTCACACAATACGAGTCGGAGACTGAGAGGCCAACAAAATCTGCTGCCTACCTTTGCTATATCAGTCATTTGCCAATACAGTACCAAGAATTGGTATTTTATGATATCTAAAGTTATTTGTAGAGTTCACAGGGTTAACTCTTAAAGCAATATAATCACTTTCAAGTAACAGGACACTATGTTGCCCTCACAATATTTAACCTATGCTCTATGCAAGGGTTACATAGGACTTTACTCAATGCACACACAAACATGGTAATCAAAGCAAGGTTCTGTCTTCCTATAATGTTAAAATCATGCCCTGAGCAGGGGAAAATATACCAAAAATTGTGTCAGTTTTCAAGATGTTTACTAGAATTCACAAATACTACTACAGCTAACACATCACCATCCAGCTCTAAAACACCCATTTACACATGCTTCAACACGTGTGGAGAACAGATGTGAAAAAAATTGCTCCTCCTTACCCTGCAAATTCTAGTGCCAAATTAAAGTTCAGAATCTCGGTCACTTGAATAACTATGTTCATAAATCATGTTAAATCACCGACACACTCACTCCATAATTTCTTTGAAACAGCATTCATTTCGCTGCTCTTCAATTTGTCCTACATACTTTCATATGCTCGTAATTGTAGGACAACTGTTAAGTGTTCCAAAATTCCAGAATGGTTGTCTATTGATCTCGTCTGTAGTCTGGTCACTTGGAAAATATCAGCCGCATGTAATGTGCTTCAAAGGTTTTAAAAACACAATAAGGTACAGGCTAAACTTAGGAGATGGTGTTGGGTGGCAGGAACATGACATGTTTCTGGAGGTCAGACAGGTGTACACATGTATCATGAACAAGGTCAAGCAGGTGTACACATGCAACATTATCAACATAATCATGCTGGTGTACACATGTATCATCAACAAGGAGCATGGCACCCAAAGGGCGCTCGTCTGAGAGTAGACACGTACTTGAGAGTTGAGTGTTAATAAACCAGTTATCGGGCAATACAACAGTCATCCACACTTTTTATCTGGTTATCAGTGGACTGGCAGGGTACTTTTATTAACTTTCTAAAGGTTCAGGGGTTCAATACGTGCTAAACTTGTACCAAAGATGTTTACATTACATACATCCTCAGTAGCATTGCCACAAACAGACTTTGACTACCTATCCAATATGTCTTGATACTGAATGTATTACATTTTTATGTAACCGATTCCCAGCGTAAATATCCAGCGTTGAACGTAATGAAACGCCTCGTTCTGGATGAGCCCCGGTGGCTCCCTGAAGCTATCTCACCAAGATGGCTCCCAACTACTGGGTCACATCAGCCATGGAGTTCTGTTTGGCCTACTACATGCCAGAACCAGACCCTGGCCCCTCCTCACAGAGGTGTAGAGGGCAGGTAACACCATGCCACCTCCCTTGGACAGCATTCAGAAAGTCAGCAAACCAACACTGATCACTGCTGGGTTCAAAGTAGCACAACCCTCAAAACTGCCAAATTAACTCCCTAAGCAATGAAAACAAACAATGGAATCTGTGGGAACTAGTGTGAGCACATTACCACTAATGCCACCCCTGCCAGCAAGGAAGGGGTTGAAGATCTAAAGTCTTCCCCAGCCTTTTCAGTCAGTTATGGAGCAGATATGAAGACAAACACCAAGTGAAGAACCTGGAAGGGAGGGAGGGAATTGGGTAGCTATCAGGGCTCATCCAGAAAGAAGCGTTTCATTACATTCAATGTGGGATTTCTGGGAGAGCACCTTGCGACTCCCTGAAGCTAATTACCAATAGAGAGGAATGACATGGGACATACCAGGGAGGAGAGATCCCAGATAATCAAGATCCACGACAACACAGGCACGACAAGGCCAGGGGACATTAACCAAATTAATCTGGTTAATTAAACGTCTACAATCAGACACCACGTAAGCAGCACTTGAAACCTTAGCTGAGCCAGCCAAGGAGACAGAAGGACTATCATCCCCCCCTCATCGAACTCCATCCTGGCCAAGACCCGGAGCAATAGCTGGACTGGAGGAATGAGGTAAAGAAACCCCAACCACGACCAATCAAGTCAGAAGGCATCCATCACAAAGGTCTCGAGATCGGGAAATGAAACCACTGATTTACATGGCTGACACAAAGAGACCCATGTAGGGGCACCCAAACGTCTCGCAAAGCTGCTGGAAGGAGGCAGCGTCAAAGGTCCACTTTGTGGATATGTAAGGGAAGCAAGAAACCATCTGCGAGAACATTGGACACAGCCCGGACATAGAGTGCAGAGAACAAAACCCCAAGAATCCAGCAGATGAGCTACCCGCAGCATCCAGCTCCAAAGGGCAATGGATAAATGGAAACCCCCGGTTCAAGCAACGAACCACTGGTAAACAGAGTGTAGCTGAAGCATAAAGCCCAGAGGAATCTGAATCCTCTTCCAAGGCATGCCACATGGCCACAAACTCACACACACTGATGAAACGGACCTGATCTGCAACCCAGGAAAACCTGGGTCATGAAGCCCCAACCTAGAGCCTATGTGTATATAAACGTGTCGAGCAATAGCAACGGAAGGTGCCAAGGAACCCAATCCTAATGAGGAAGGCAGCGACGCAGCAGCTGATTAAAGGCGATAAGGGTCCAAACTCAACAGTGTCTCCTAAATAGGCAAACACCAGGACTTTGCTGATGCGAAGAAGTCGACATCTGAGCACCCGTATGTCTGGTAAAGCTAGTGGAAGGAATCAGCAGCAACAGTCCAATCCATGGAAAGGAGAAGAAATCAGGACAAACTGTCAGCCAAGACATTGAATATGGCCTGGACATGAATGGCACAGAGATACAAACCCTGAGAACTCGACAAATGAGCTAGCAAAGCGACCAGCCCGAAGGCCAAAAATAAAAAAAACAGACCGAAGGAGCCGGATCACAGAGCCCAGAGGAATTCAAACACCCGCAGTGCCTGCCACACAGTTGCAAAATCCACACTGTACTGAGCATCCTCACCAGCCAGTCACTGAGGTAGGCCAACACCCAAAGACCTAAGAAAGCAAAAGGGGCCACCATGACTACGAGGAAAACTCAGAAAACACGAGGCGCCGTAAGCAGCTGAAACACAAAGCCCAACTAACTGTGTAAGGCAGAACCAGACATTGTGTACATGTGGACAATCCATGCAACTGATCACTTGCCTCTTTGCACAAACTATTTGAGCGCTAAAACAAATTTATGTAGAGTATCTATGAATTTATAGGCTCCAAACTTATGAAGACTACTGTATTTGAAAGTCTAGAAAATTATAAAGTTAAAACCACATAGGAATCAGTGTGCCAAGTTGAGTGAGGTTAGTTCAAGCATTTGGTCTCCAACTTCAAACAGATATTCTAATTTATAAATACACTGGTATTATATTGAGGTTTACATACCTGAAGGTGATTTAACTGCTGCTCCACTTGCCGTAGCTGCTGTGTTTTTGCTGTGAGTTCATCTTGATACTCACGCAGGGAGTCTAACTGTGCAAGGATACTGTTTCCTTGCCGTCTGGACCCTAAATTGAAAAAATACAAAAACATGTTTGTTAATGTTGCATTATCAGCCCGTCCTCCAAAAATGGGGTGGTAAATGTAAGAAGACAAATAAGTGCAATTATGTACTATTCATAGCAGTTAGGAATTGTACTTATTTTCACTTAGTATTAAATCGTACTGTCAAATATATTGTGAATATTTGAGTTTACCTGAAAAACTGAATAGAAAACCACAACCTCACCTAACCGTCTTAGTTTCTGAAGATAACAATTTTATTGCTTCTTAATTACAATCAGTACTTAACCTATAGCTATATTGATATTACTGTTTTATAAAACTAATAAAACAAAACTAAAACATATCAATAAATTGTAAAGTAACTCAGGATATTTTAAAATTTTGTATAAAATCTATATTGCTTAATAAACCTGAAAAAGAAATTCCTGATATTTAAAACTTGTGTATTGCAAATTGAAATTGAAAACTTCATCCTAAAATTCTGCGTGTCTTAACAGAAAACGAGGGAGAATTAAATCGGGGGAGGGAGTTGGGTTAACCCTTAAAGTGCGCATCACGTCATATGACGTGCTGGACGTTGTTGCAGTCAACTGCGCATCACGTCATATGATGTGTTGGAGTACTACGCAAGATTTAAACAGCCCGCGGATACATGGGGTTCACCACACCTTCATCAGGGCTCTTGTAAACAGACGCCATTTAAAAAAAAAAATCGTGGGCCAAACTCCCGGGTGTTATTGGCCTCAGTATTGAGTGAGCTACCAAGCCTGACGCAGGCAGCATGAGCTAACAGCACTGCTGTTCAGCTTGTGACCACAGCATCGCCTAAAAATGCCAAATTATACTTGTTCATGCTATTATGTAGCGATGATATTATGACAGAAGACCCCTGACTGTGATAAAACTGACCAGGGTTCTGATAATGGCAGGATTGTGGTGATATTTAGCGCTGTGCGCCATGGAAGGAGGAGTAATGCTGTGGGAGGGAGGGTGGTGGCGATGTCTTTTGACTGTGTGGGGCCACCTTTTATTGACTGCACTCGCCATACCAGCTTAGTGGTTCGCTATGGTGAACACAAATGTAGATACTTATATATAACGTGTGTATAGAGGGTATAAACAGCAAGAGAAGGTTTGGAGCTGCCATTTTGGTGAGGGCGGTGGCGTCCTCTGCACGACGCCACCATTATCTTGAGGTTATCTTGAGATGATTTCGGGGCTTTTTTTTTAGTGTCCCCGCGGCCCGGTCCTCGACCAGGCCTCCACCCCCAGGAAGCAGCCCGTGACAGCTGACTAACACCCAGGTACCTATTTTACTGCTAGGTAACAGGGGCATAGGGTGAAAGAAACTCTGCCCATTGTTTCTCGCCGGCGTCTGGGATCGAACCCAGGACCACAGGATCACAAGTCCCGCGTGCTGTCCGCTCGGCCGACCGGCTCCCAACACCGTGCAGACGGCGGTGTTGTTTACTGGTTACCACAATGGTCTTTGGGCACCATACCAGTTTATTTGTACAAGTATGGTGAATAAAACAGGTAGATATTTATATATAATGTGTGTATATAGCGTAATAACACCACACAATATTGTTGGAGGAGAAATATTAGTGCGTCTGGCCTTGAGGGCGGCCGCCGATCAGCTGACTGTGTGAGTAGCCACATCTTTGTGCCTTTACTCACCATACAAGCTTAGATGTACAGTTATGGTGAACAAAACATGTAGATACTTATATATAACGTCTATATATAGTGAATTATAGCAACAACATTATTGTGGGAGGAGAATGTGGGTGAGTCAGATGACTGGAGGGAGGGTGGGAGTGGCTGGCTGGTAAACGGCGGTCACTCCTCATTACTTTTTGACTCATAATAGCTACTTAGTGGTTCGTTATAGTGAACAAAACACGCAGATACTTATATATAACCTGTGCTTATAATGTAATAACCAACAAAGTATTTGTTCACTGATTGATGAACATAATTGAATCAACAATATGCACACCATATTTTTGAGTACAGCGATGATTCACTCATTTTATTATATAAATATATCAAACTACATACTATGGAATAATATTACAGCAAAAAAAGTATGAAAAATCAATCAGAGACATTGAAATAATTCGGTAATTATCTCTTTGTGGCAACTCTAGCCTGACAGCTTGCGAGCAACAGACCGCCTGGGACGCACGCTGAGTCAGCGCCTATAATTTGCCAGGCTTCCCAGCCCTATAGCGGGCAATATATGCCACTTACGATTTTTTTATTATTTTTCCCGTGATCAGTGAACACAAATTAACAGGTTAGAAAGAAAAAATATTTTTTTTTTTTCAAAATGACATGCGCCTGTGGGGATGACAGGATATTAAACCCCGAGCATGTTAAGGGTTAATGTAACAGCCCCATAAGTGCAATTATGCACTGATTATAACAGTAAGAAAATGTACTTATTACACTTAGTATTAAATCGTACTGTCAATTCGGAGGATGGGTTGTGCATTATACAGTATTATGTTACGAATACTTATTTTTGTATAATTCAAGAAGATTATTATTTATTTATCCTTTTAATTATGATAAACAAAATAACATTGTAAATAACTTTACCACATTGGAGAGAGTAAACAAAAAGTAGTGAAATGTATAGTCTGGGCTGCCCCCTGAACATGTGCTTCTGGCACGTACTGATACCTGTTTGATACCTGTTTGATGGGGTTTTGAGAGTTCTTCTACTCCCCAAGCCCAGCCCGAGGCCAGGCTTGAGTTGTGTGAGTTTGGTCCACCAGGCTGTTGCTTGGAGCGACCCGTAGGCCCACATACCCGACCCGTAGGCCCACATACCTGACCCGTAGGCCCACATACCCACCACAGCCCGGTTGGTCCAGAACTTCTTTTAGAAAACAGTCTAGTGTTCTCTTAAAGATGTCAACGGTTGTTCCGACAATATGTCTTATAGTCGCTGGGCGGACGTTGAACAATGGGGAACCTCTGATATTTATACAGTGTTCTCTGATTGTGCCTATGGCACCTCTGCTCTTCACTGGTTCTATTCTGTATTTTCTTCCATATCGTTCACTCCAGTACGTTGTTATTTTACTGTGTAGATTAGGGACTTGGCCCCCCAATATTTGCCAGTATGTGTATATTATTTGGTATCTTTCTCGTCTCCTTTCTAATGAGTACATTTGGAGAGCTTTGAGACGATCCCAATAATTTAGGTGTTTTATTGCGTCTGTGCGTGCCGTATATGTTCTCTGTATTCCCTCTATTTCAGCAATCTCTCCTGCTCTGACGGGGGAAGTGAGTACTGAGCAGTACTCGAGACGGGACAACACAAGTGACTTGAAGAGTACAACCATTGTGATGGGATCCCTGGATTTGAAAGTCCTCATAATCCAACTGATCATTTTTCTGGCAGACGCAATATGTGCTTGGTTATGCTCCCTAAACATTAGATCTTCAGACATCATTATTCCCAAATCCTTGGCATGCCGTTTTCCTACTATGGACAGATTCGATTGTGTTTTGTATCCTGTATTATGTTTAAGATCCTCATTTTTGCCGTACCTAAGTACTGTACCTGGAATGTATCACTGTTAAACTTCATTTTCTGTTGCCCAATCAAAAACTTTGTTGATACCTGCTTGTATTTTTGTGACTTGTATTTGTGTCTGTATCTGATATGAGAATAAGGAATAGCAGTGGTGCAAGGACTGTACCTGAGCACATCAGGTTCCTTTAACGTCTCTCTACACCCCACAGACAAGCACTCTTGATTTATCTTGCCCCACAGATGGGGCAAAGCAAGCATCGATTATCCTAGATCAACCTACTATCATGGTCAAGCACCCACAAACAATTGGAAATGAAGTAGCATAACACTCATACTACTTCTGAGTAATATTTGACAAAAAGCACATTACAAGACAAAACTCATAAAACAACCTAACAAGATAATAAACTCCTTACTCCACCGCTACCAGATGGTGACCCAAGGGACTCGTAGTCCTGCTAAGGTAAACACACTACTCTTATGCCCAAGTGCAACTACTGGGGCACAAAGAGGACACACACTGGGTGGTACCTTATCTTACCTTATGTTGATTCCACGGGTTAATATCCCTACATACCTGGAGCATACGTGGAGAGGGTTTCGGGAGTTCTACTCTCCAAGCCCAGCCTGAGGCTAGGTTCGACTTGTGATAACTTTGTCAAACAGGCTGTTGCTTGGAGCAGCCCGCAGCCACACACATCCACTACAGCCTGGTTGGTCCGGCACTTCTTGCAAGAACCTGTCTAAGTCGGCCTGGTCTCAGACCAGGCCTCCTGGTTGGTGGTCTGGTCAACCAGGCTGTTGGATATTGTTGCTTGCAGCCTGACGTATGAATCAATGTCCAATTGATAAGGTATCCTTTGGAGGCATTTATCGTGTTCTCTCGAACAGCGTGAGAGGTCGGCTAGTTATGCCATGTAATGGGGAACAATTGAGGTGCCACTAAAATGGAGGCATTTAATTACATTTAATGCTCAATTTTTGCCAAGTTCCTTCAGTAGCCCCTCTGATCCTAATCTTTCAACTCCACACATCAGTGTCATTATTAGTGTGCATATCACCCAGGGCACCCATATGATGCCTCAGGCCTCTGGTAAACAGCTGCCATCTTGAAAACATTGCATGGAGTCCCACATGTTATCCAGATGTGTCATTTTATATACTGCAGCCATGAGCGATCCAAGTGTTCATGGCCCACAGCAACATGTGACTCACAACACCATCACTCACACACAAGGAAATTTGAATGAAACTGCTAAAATCCATCACTGATAGTGATATTGATCTTGCTAGTGACAAAGACTAAACACAGTAATCAAATATAAGTGATATAGATAGTGAAATTGATGAACCAGTGAGCATTTGGAAGCTGAGGCTTATACCTCCGCCACAATTCCCTAGGGGGTCTGACAGCCGAGTGGACAGCGCTCGGGATTCATAGTCCTGAGA